CAGAGAGGGAAAGGGACTGTGGGCCGAAAACTGGGGGGAGGAGGGGGAAGTGTAGGGGGTGGGTTTCTGGGATATACCCTTTGGGTGGTTGATGATGCACGGAGGGGATTGGAACCATGGCAGTGAGATGATATACGATGGAATGAATGTAAAACTAAAGTTCTCCCATGTAAACTATCATATAGTTCACATTAAAACTTTAATTAATCAATTAATTAATTAATTTCCTTAGCCTCAGTTTTGTATCCTGTGTACCTCCGTGTCAGGCTGCCTTGGGCTTTCCCCTTACCCTACATTCACATCCCCAAATATAATGCAAGGAGTTTAGAAGTTCTCTATTACCTACAAGCTCAAACCTTCTGGCCTTTACCACCACTGTTTTTGTATATTCTACTCCATCCACATTACTTTTATAGTGTCTTCTATTGTTAAATCTACATTGCAAAGCATTTCATCTCCATCTTTGATAGCTGCCCATTCTATTGCAGAAGTTCCTTTCTCTCGTGCCTGTAGATTCCAGGTGAGAAGCTTTTGCCCTCCCTATGGAGCCTGGCTGGCAAAGAAGAGGGAAGGCAGGGGAGAGAACCATTTATTAATAGCTGTATTGTGTAGCTAGCTATATTCACAACTGCTGTCTCATTTAGCTCTCATGACAACTTTGCAAAGTATAAATGATTATTATCCTTTTTTATGGGAGGAAAAAGAATATTGGAAAGGTCAAATGTGTTCACTTAAGGTCTCACAACCAGAAAATGACTTAGATTTGAACCTGGGCTTATCTACCTTAAGCCATGCTAACAACAAGGCACTGGAGACTTTAAAATAACACATCTAAGCTCAGTGACAGAATGTCCAATTTCTATGCACTTACAACTGGTTTATTTCAGGTAGTAGGTTAGAAAGACTAAGTATGACAAGAGTGACTATAGACAGTGTGGTAGACAGTGTGGTTGGGAATTTGAAAATGAAAGTACTTTGGCACCAGGGAAAGAAAGAGACCAGGTTAAGGTCTGGGTTAAGGTACAAAATTAAGTGCTAGATATGACCATGGGAAGGTGTTTGTGTTCTGGGAGCGACAGGTTGGGATGCCTTGTCATCATGACACCCACTTTCACACATATAGGACATGATAGTCAATTTATGGCAGGGATGGGAGCCTCTGCTTTATGCATGGGTTCACTGAGGCTCAGAGAACTACCTCTCACAAAATGTTGAGCATAGGTAAGCCATGTCAGACAGTTTGTCCAGAGATACAAAACTCAGAACTGAAAAGCTGGAGGAATTCTCTGAGCCTCCTAAGAACCTCCCTCGTAAGTCTTTAGCCGTCTTCTCAGGACGTTTTCCTCCTGAGTGGTCATTTTCATATTGCCAATTAGTAGTGTGCCCATCCTCTACACCATCACTACAGTACCCTTTCATGAGAAGGCAGGGCATTACCTGTGGCAGAAATTCCCTTTGCTACTTTTCTTGAAAACTATTGGCCAGAGTTTCACAGTGGTGTCTCTCAACACTAGCACCACTTGAGTGATCTCCTGTCCACACTTATAAACTTGTTGTTGTTGTTGTTAGGTGTCATCGTGTTGGTATCGACTCTTAACGACCTTATGCACATCAGAACAAAACACTGCCCGATCTTGGGCCAATCTCACTACTGTTTGCCACGCTTGAGTCCATCAATGCTGCCACTTGGCCAATCCATCTCGTTGGAGGTCTTCCTCATTTCCTCAGACCCTCCACCTTACCAAACATGATATCCTTCTCCAGCAATATGTCCGAAGTATGAGAGACGATATTTGGCCATCTTGGCCTCCAAGGAGCACTCAGGCTGCAAAGCTGGGGAGGTGCAAATTGGTTCTTTGAAAGCCAAGGGAGTGACTGGTCCCCTGCTTCACCACCCTCCATCCCAGAGTCAGCCATGACTGATTTCCTCAGGGAAAATCAGTCAGGTATGGTCAGAGATATGTGGAGATGACTGAATCCACAGAAAAAAAATAAAAGAAGCATTCAACCTGTTGAGACTGGGTGATAATGCAGATTGTAGAATTCAGACTTGAACACTATTGAGCAAGGCTTGTGTCTATGTATCCTTGCCTTCAGTTTACTTACAAGGAGATGGAGATTAAAAGCAAGGGCATGGCTTGCTTGCCTCAGGCTACTAAGTAGCACTTAAGGAATTCAAGCACCGATTTGCTTCCAAAGTGTGGAATCTCTAGCTGTCCCTCTGAAGTTGAGAATTTAAAACCAATGCAACAGTAACCACAGCAAAGGAAATCCCCTTCATTTGGGGATGTCAAGAAAGCAAGAACCTCTAGCCTTCCTGGGCTTTGTTGGCCTTTGGATCTAGACCAGGGACTACTTCGTAGCACTCAGAGCTCTTTTGGTTGGTTTATGGGTGGAACAGGGCCCCCAGGCCTCTTGGGATTTTGTCTCCATTCTTCATCACTCAGCTTGTGCTATGTAAAGGGGGAAGGAAGTGGAACACAACCTGTGTCATCTTATTCTAGGGCTATTGTATGAGTGTCTGAGGTCATGCTGGTGGGCTCCTAACTTGGATAGGGTTTGCAGTTTCTGTCCAAGCTCTGGATTCTCTGAATCCTGCCTCCCCTCCACCACATCACCTCCCAAGAGAAATGCTGAGGCACTTCACCATTCCTCTTGTGGTCTTACCTTAAGGCCTGAGACTGAGGGTAAAGCAAATGCTGCCTATCTGACCCCAAATACTGACCCTGGATTGCATCCCTGATCCCTCCACCCTGTCTCCAGTCACTTGGTCCTTGTCTTAGTAAAAAGAAAGCCACATGGCCAGAGTAATGCTTTATTGTTCTGCTAAGAGATCATGCTGAAACCTGTTCTCTTCCTCTCTTGGTTCATCTAAGTGGCCTGTACCACTCCCTACCCAGGCTTTCCAGACCCCTGATCCCACCAGCATTTATTATAATATAGTTATAATAGAATATATATTTTAACAGTACAGTATTTATAAGTACATATAGTCAGGCTTAAAAAGTACATTTAGAAGGGTAGCTGGGATCCATTCCATTCCAATTGATTTAGCTAATAGAAAAATAAAACACAAGTTGGTGTTTGAATGGCATTTGAGTTTACATAGGAGTCAAGACTGAAGAGGGGTAGGTGGGATAGATCAGGTTTGGATAAAGCCCCAACTGGTTTAAATGATGCTAGGCCCTTCTGGCTAGTTGGCTGCCTGGCTAGTAGGCCTGGTGTTTGCTTGAGCAGGAGTTGTTATTATGCTACAATAAGCAAAAGGAGGAGGGAAAAGGTAATGAACACAGATATATATTTCCTTGCTTCTATCTGCTTTTGCTGAACTGTCTCAGGACTGACATTTGGGTTTTGAGAAGTTGGCCCCAGGTGCCACAGCAGGACTGTTGACCAGAAGGTGTACATCTTGGGCTGCAGTGCTGCAACTCTCATGCCCCTGAGCTTGCACTGTGTGGCTAAAAGCTAGCCAGAATCCTAGGAAGTGTGGCGCCCAAGCAGGGAAGACTGACTCTTTGGTCTCTTGAGACCTGAGAAAGGAAAGTCCTTCTTACCCCATCACATCACAATCTACCCCAACACATCATGTTGCCTATGAGAGGCTCATCGGTACCCATTTTTAAATCAACCGCATAAAAATCAGCATTGTAGTTACAAAAATAAAACAGTTCCTAATGGTTGGAGATGCCCCTATGTTCTGCTCCTGTGCCTATTTTCTCAAGTCCAATTTCTCTGGGGAAAAGAAAAATACAAAATAGTTCAGGGCCAATGTTGAGCCTAAAGACAGGAACAGAACCTTTGGTATAACCTCAAAGATATAATAGCATTCAAATAGGATAATTTAGCCTCTAGTCTAGCACAGAGGTAGGACCACACATTGCTCTGTCACTCCTTCCCCCTGCAATTGGGGGAGCCACTGTGGCAGGACTGGGGAATTTTTTTTTTCTTTGCCAAAATGTATAACAACATTCACAAGCCATACAAAATTTTCAACTTAAAAATTATCCTTATATATTTGGTCTTTAACTCAACGCTAATGTGATGACTGAAACTGCAGTTGCCTTGGCAGGGCCAGACTAAATGATTTAAAGGGTCTTATATGGTTGGCGGGAGCTCTGGTAGCGTAGTGGTTACGAATCGGGCTGCAAACCTTAAGGTCAGCGGTTCGAAACTACCAGCTGCTCCGTGGGAGAAAGATGAGGCTTTCTACTCCCGTAAAGATTTACACCCTCGGAAACCCTGTACAGGGTCGCTATGGGTCAGAACCGACTCGATGGCACTTAACAACAACAACATATGGTTGGCAGGCCAGACATTCCCCATCCCTGCACTAAAGTTTCAGATTGAGTAGTGACTTCATGGGCAGGAAAAGGATAACAATTGTGTGTCTGGCTACTAAAATGATTTATCTCTCTTGGGAGGGTAGAATACAGTGAGTAAGTGAAGATAAGAATCTAAGTTATCTTTTCCTATGTATGTGCAGAGAAGCTTTAGGAAGCAAGGGATGACTGACAGCTGGAACCATAGTTGGGGCTGGTTCTGCCCCTGGCAGCAGCATCCAGGGGCCTTCCTTATTATCTCCTTAGTCCTTTCGTTGGTACCACCCTGGTGCCAGCCTAAGGTTCACAGCTTTGTCTCAGGGCCACCTGCCTGCAGGGTGGGGAAGGAGTCCCGGATCTTTGCCACTTCCATGGCACACAGGTGCCCAAAGACTTTGTTGTACCAGTCAAGAGAACGGCCCCTGTGGAAGTAAAAATAGCCAGGCATAAGCAATGGGTACCTCCCTGGAGTCCTCACCAGCAAGAAGGAATGAAAAGTTTCCCCAAGCCCCCAAAGATCAAAGGTGCAAGGAAGGAGATGTAGAAAGACAGACAGGCAGTGATAGGGCTAAAGCTAAGGGAGTGGGGCAAGCAACCTGGGCCTGTTACCTAAGGTCAGCACGACAGACGTGAGTGAGCCTGGAGTGGCCCAGGCCGCAGGGCTCCATAAGGTACTGGGAAGTGAGCATCAAGGCCCGCACCCCTGATTCTGGCACAGGTTGCTCAGGATCCAGTGAGTGGGAGACAAGCAGGCATCCTCCACGAGGTAGATCTGAGCGCCACATCCTGTTTGGAAGGCATACACACATTCAAATTCCTGGTGACTTTCCCCACCCCACCTTCCTAGTCTCAGGCAACTAAGAGTCCCTTACCGGAGCACCACAAAATCGCGGCAGGGATGGGGTGCCATGCTATCAGTAACGTAGTGGTACAGCTCCACACCCGGCATCAGGGCTTCCAGAACTTGGGCCCGCAGCAGGTCCTCATCCCAAAGGGCCCTCTCCCGCAGAACACGATGTAGCACCACAGCTGGAGGGGCTGCCACCTCCGTGGATGCCTTCCACATACGCAAGGGGTGCCCATCTGGTGCCTGGGGGTCACAAGGGTAGGGGCATGGAGGCAACTGTCAGATTCCATCCCACAGTCCAGGCTTCATTCAAACCCTGATGAGGGAAAGATGCAGGGCTGCTGTCATCTTTTTTGCCCTATCATCTCTCTCCTTTCTGGATGACTGCTTTCCAGCCTGCTAAAGAGCACACAGATGATAGCACACATTCTCAGAGACCTACTGGGTCCTACCAAAACAAGCACCGTGCTTGGAATTGCGGGAAGTAGGGAGAACGCCCCATCTATGTGGGAAGTAAAACACTCATACAACAACAAAATATGCCATTTATTGAGGCTTTTGTATGTGCCGGGCAGTGTACGAAATTATCACCCTGATCCTATTAGGTAGGTTAGAATATGACCAATTTAGAAATTAGCCTGGGAAATTCCAGGCTCACAATCTTAAAGAACAATCAGAACCTGAGAAAATGCATGGACAATGCCAGAAGAGAGACAGAGAAATCATCTTCAGTCTGGAACATGCCAAAAAGCTCTAAATGGAAGAAGCAACATATTAAGTTTGGGAGCTGCTCATTCCAGTCATCAGGAACAGTATGAGCAGAAGTTAAATCTCAAACCAAACCCAATGCTATCAAGTCAATTACAACTCATAGCAACCCCATAGGACTAGTAGAACTGCCCCATATAGTTTCCAAGGCTGCAAATCCTATGGAAAAAACAATGTTCTCCCATGTAAGCTATCACTTCCTATGGAAACAGACTGCTACATATTTCTCCCATGGAGAAACTGCCAACCTTTCGGTTACCAAAAACAGACAGGTGGCAATGCAAGGAGTTCAGTTTGACAGTAATGCAGGGAGAGATGGGAGTTGAGGCTAAAAAAGTAGAGTCATGTCTAGAGTAGACTTTGGAACATAATTCTGGCAGGTAGTCCCTGAGAGAGATGCCTTGCTTTAATTTGATTCTTGACTCCTTACAGAACTTACTCTGCTGGCCGACATTCTCCAAGTATCGGGCCCAGGCATGGTGAGATTGGCAAGCAACTCCTTCCTGGCTCCTGCCTTTGAGTTCCCCAGCCCTTTTCCCCCTTCACCATACCATCTCCCAGGTGGTATGGTGCTCACCTTTCTGCAAGCTAGCTCGGTGTGCTGGGGCCCTGGCATACTCATCCAACCCTTGAAACGTTCAGCAGCATCACACAGCAGCTCCTGGATACTCTCCTCCATGTAGAGGCTCAGGCTAATTCCAGAGGCTCGGACCCGTCGCAACTCAGCCAAGGCAGGGCCAGGAGGACTGAGCTCAGCTGCACTGTAGGAGCCACACAGTTGCAACACCATATCTTGGGGCACCTACAAGTGTATAGACAAACCAAGCTGAGGGCCACGAGGAGCAGAGAAGGATCAGGATTCTTCAGTCCTAAAGCCTATGAAGGTCTATATCAGGTTCATGTTGAGGGCAGTGGAGAGGCCAGGCTACTGCAGTTGTTGTATTGTTAAGTGTTGTTGAGTTGGCTCCAACTCATACCGACCCTGTATAGGGTTTCCGAATTTGAACCACTGACCTTGCGGTTCAAACTGACCTTGCAGTCAAGTGCTTGTCCTACAGGGCCACACTGAAATAAGATAGTTGAAAAATCTTGTGCTCCCCCGGATTTGGGGTGCTGTGTCAGGCCTGATAAATCCCTTAGGTCTTATAAGCAGGTTCACTCACCTGGAACAGTTTCTTGCAATCACTGATCATGTGTGACAGACCCTGGGTGGCAGCCATATTCTCACTCAGATCCCTAGGGCCTGGCTGACCAACCAGCTTGTGTTTGCTTTTGATCCTGGATAGAAGGGTCAAGGGAAGAGAGTGGCACAAAACACGAGACAAGTGGGCTAACAGGCTGGTTTCCTACTCCCAGGAAGCCAGTTTGCCAGGCCTGACCACAAAAAAACCTGAAGACTTTTAAAAGGATCTGTTTCACAGCCTCCAACCAATCTCTGAGCCCTGGGGAGTCTGGTTGGTCCCTGTGGTGAGGCCTGGGAAATGTAGTGCCAGTTGCCAAGATCCAAAAATCCTTTGGGGCCCAACCCCTCCTTGCCTGGTTCTGACATGCCCTTCCCTGTTTCACCTGGGCAAAGTGCTATCCTTCTTGGAGACACTGAGGTGGAAGATAGAGGGTGCCAAGCACACTGCCAGGTTGCCAGCTGTCATTTGGTTTTCCTCAGCCAAAGCAATATCACTCAGGAAGTAGAGCAGGGTCTGTAGCACCTCTCGGTTCTCATCAGGCAGCAGCAAGGTGGCAGCTTGTGCAGCTGCTAGCCATTGATCCTTAGGGAGTACTATGAAGAAGGAATGGCAGAGGGCCTTATTTCTCAGAGGCTCCAGAAACAAGCCTCCAGCTTATGCGAAAATAGAGACCTCACTGATTTCAAGAGAAGATGGTGACAAGAAAGGTAAAAGGTCTACTCTGGGAGATCAGAGCCATGGGTGCTAGATGGAACTCTGCTGCTAACCTGCAATGCAAGCTTATATAAGTCCTCTCCTTTTCTTGGGACTTCAGTCTGCCCTTCCATACAATGGGATGGGGGGAGTAGAATATGATCTGTCTCCAAAAGCCTTTCTAACTCCAAATGTCTTTGCCTTCACCAGGCTTATCTTCCACCAGCCCTAGGATTCAGGGAGGTGATGAATAAAACAGATTGTTGGGGATAGGTACAGGGGGATAGGTACAGGTGACTCACACTGGTAGATCTGCAGGAAAGTGGTCGTGAGCTTGCTAGTAAAGATGGGCTCAGGCAGGTCCCGGAAATACTGCTTCAGCAGGTCAGCCACATCATATGCTGACTGACCCTCATAGCAGACATTATCTGGGGAGGTCTCATTCATTTGACGCAGGTTCTGGATCCTGGACTTCACCCCAGACTTCCGGAAGATGCCAACCTGACCCATGCAGGAGAGAGAGAAGGGGGGGGGGGGAAGATGCAAACAGGGTGGGGGGAGAGAAGACTCTAAAGGCAGCCCTGGATTGGGTTTCAGGAGTGAAGAACATTCCATATACTTCTGAGCCTGGCAGGCTTCTTGCTGAGCAAAGTAGGAGAAAAATGGCAAACCATAGAGAAGTATTTTCATAGTCTCATGGCCAAAGGAAAAAAGATGGCTTTTGTGCATATGAGGTAGGAAAAGGCAGGCTCCTAAAAGACAGAAACTGCAGAATCTGGGTCAAAAGGAAGCTGTCACAGAACTGAGTAGAAGGGTCCAGCCCTATGGAATGAAAGGGAGTTCTGGCTCAATTCTCTCTGGCCCTTCCTGGGATAGGAAAGGTGCCTGGTAGAACATCCTGACCCAGCAGGAAGACCAGAGCAGTTCCCTAGACCAACTCCTCAGCCTTGGACTCCAGCCCTGCCCTTAGTGCCATCTCTCTGCAGGCCACTTACCTGGTCCAGGCACTGACTGCGCAAGTAGCGCATGGCTTGCTGAATGCTCTGTGGCAATGGCTGACCTGTACGCTGCATATGGATGAGGGGTGGCACTCCAAATACATGCTGGCCTCGGTAGTCTGGGATTTTGTTCCTTTTCATGAATTTGGGCACTGTCCTGTTTAGGTGAATGGCAAGAGGTCAGCAAGGGGGATGGGACAGACCTGGGCACTTTGGAGCAGCTAGCTACAGTCTTGTTGGGCTCAGATGGGATGAACAGAGTAAGAAACATGCATATCCCTAGACTTAACATTCACTGAACACCTGCTTTGGACCCTGCATAGGGTTTCCAAGACTGTAAATTTTTACAGGAGCAGAAAGCCTCATCTTTCTCCTGCAGAGTGGCTTGTATTTTCAAACAGCTCAACTCGTAACCACTATGCTACCAGAGCTCCTTGTTGGGAAGTAGCCAGAAAAATGGAGCAGGCATAGAACATGAGAAGATCAAGATGGGAAGGAATTAAAACTATTCTTTAACCATGGAAGCCACAGAATGGGATTTATCAGCACAGTGACAACCAAATCTGCACCATAGGACATTTCCCAGCAGCAGCATAGAGGATGCAGTGGAAAAGGTACAGCTGGAGGACCTATGGCCCCTCTAACACACCATTCTCACATGTGGCACACATGTGTATTCCATGTATATCCTTGACAGATATGCATAAACCACTCCAAAGCATGCTGACCTCTTAGACCTTAGCACCTTCAGCCTCCTAGTATATCACACCACTCCACTGGACTTCAGCTGTCAGCATCCACTGTCTAGGGCTGACCCTTCTAGAGGTTATGGGCCATAAGCAGGGGCCTAGGACCTGAGTCATACCCACCCACCATGGCCCAGAAACCACTCACCAAACCCATCCCTGCTTGTGGGGCACAGTGTACTTCTCCATGAAGGCAGTGAGCCGTAGTAATGAGCCTTTATGCAACAGGTTGATCTGGCTGGCAAACTGGCGGTTAATCTCCAGTGACTCCGAGTTGAGGCTAGGACGGTGGGAGTTCTGGAAGCTGTGCCAACGAAGTTTCCTGGCAAATGAGGAGGGTGAAAGGGAAGAGGAGCAGGTTTGGACAAACCTTAGCAAAGGTTGTGTTCTTCTAGTCCCTTTTTTAATCCAAAAGAAAGAAAACACAGAGAGATGGGGCTACTCTCACTGCTGATGCTGGGCTACAGGGTAGAAAATGCTTAGTCTTAGCTTCTAGATTTACCCATAAGCCAAGAAGCTCTCAAGGAAAGTAGCAGAGAGTTCAGACCAATCTAGTGCCAATAAGGAGTACCTACTCCCAATCCATTCCAAGACTTTTATTGAGGGCTGCTACAAGAAAGTTTGAAGGGCAAAGCTAGGGATCAGACACCATCTCCTTTAACACCCTGTTTACAGATGGGGAAACATGAGACCCAATGAAGGGCTACAATTTGCTTAAGATCATATCTATATTAGGTCGTGAACCTAACTCTTTGATTCCTGAGTCATGTATTCTTTTCATTTCTCTTCTGGGACTGCCTACCTGGAGGTGATCACTCAGCCTGTCCCTGGGCCTCATGACTAAGAGATCTGTTTCCAGAGAGAACAAAAGACAACAGAGACCCCTGTTCCACTCCTACCCTAAACTCCCACCTGCAGGGTCTGGTAAGTGAGGCCCCAACTCCTGAATCACGCCGTTCATGGGGCTCTGTTGCCTGGAGCCCATCTGCACATCCCCCTGCTTTGGTCTCATTCATGGCATTCCTGCTACTGTCAAGTTCACTGGAGGAAGCCACAGTGTCAGAAATGGAGTGTCTGTCTTTCTCAGATAGGCTAGAGGCAGAGATGGGTTCCCTGCTTGAATTTATCTTCTGTTCATTGTCCTGGGCTGAGGTGTGGACCTTAGCCTCTACCTGTGCCTGTGCCAGGACCTCAGTCTCAGCTGAAGCCTGAGTCTGAGTTGAGACTGTCTGAGAATCTGCCTGGACCTGGGCTGGGAACTCTTCTTGTGCTTGAACCAGATCTTCTTGTGCTTGGGCCAAATCTTCAGCCTGGTTTTCAACCTTAACTGTAGCTATTCCCACTGATAAAGTAGCTTTCTCTTCTTCTTCATCTCCTTCCTCTTTCTTCTTGCCAGGCCCCAGTTCTGAGTACATGGCTTGAGACCACAGTTCTACCTGCTGCTGCAAATCCCAAACATGCTGGAGGATATCATCTAGGTGAGCATAGTTGCCCTCATTCTCCTCATCTTCAGCCTTGGCCCCAACCAGCACAGACTCAGCTTGGTACAGCTTGGGCAAATTGTCATAGGTGCTGGCATGGCTGCCTGTTGAGCCATAGGAGCCACGGTGCCCTTCATAATGCCAGTGCCCTCCTGACTTCCAACCTGCCAGGCAGTGTCCATCCTCAGGACACAGGCTCTCAATGGATAGGGAGCGAGGGAATGTGCCTGGCTTGTGGTCTGTAGACACATTCACCAAGCTGTCACACTGGTGTGCCTGCTGAGGATGCTGGGATGAGGCCACAGGCCAGGCTCTCTGAGTCTCAGTGCTACCACCACAGGTTGATGTAACTATCTGGTTCTTAGCCCTGTAGAATCCAGCTGAAAAGAAGTCACGGCAACTGCGGAAAGACGAAGCTTTGGTGGTCTTTCCTGAGGTGGTTGGGTTACCCTTGGGCTCTGCTTGTCGGTTGTCACTTTTTTCCTTCTTCCTAAGAGTCTCAAGGTGCTTGAGGAAGCAACTGGAGCGGTGCTTCTTGACTTTGTTCTGAAGACCCTCCTGATCTTGGGTGGGGCTGAAGAAGGGCTGGTCCCTTTGACTGGGGGCACAATCTAATAGGGACACATCTATTGGTTCAGGCAGCAAGCTCACAGTGATGGCTGGCAGGGAGATTGTGCTAAGTTCAGTGAGGACATTCTCACAGCTTGAAGTAATTGGCAGGCTTGGACTTGGTGGGGACAGCAGATGAGAGGAGCCCACAAGAGACCAGCGCTTGTTTTCTTGCTGGAAGGCCCAGTGGTTGCTTATGGTATACTGCTCTTCCTCATCTGAATCTTCATTCTGGGGAAGGTACCACAGGGTGAGGTCAGAGGAGCACAGCCTAGAAGCCCTTGCTTGTGCTCCTATCTGCCTTCAAACTCTTGGGAGACTTTGAGGTAAGGGCCCCGCTTTCTGGTTGAGGAAATGGTTTAGTTCTGAGGATACAAAAAGGAAGCTAAGGGTCAGAGATAGAGAGCATATAAATGTTAATGATCGTGTAATTAATCTACCTCTTGCACTGTAAAATAAGCAGGCGACCACTAAGTCAATTTAAACCACAAGGTTGGTGATTCAAACTCACCAGCCACTCCTTGGAAATCCTAAAAAGGGTCACTTTGAGTTGGAACTTACTCACTGGTACTTAGCAGTAACAATAACAACAACCATTCTACAAGTAGGGAAACAGATACACACATGAGAAGGAATATGCTCAAGGTCATGAAATGACATGCAATGAGTCAGAGCTAGGACTGTTGACTTCTGTTTTCAGCAGCCTCTCTAGTCTCTAGGTAGTAATCTTACATAAGAAATCACAGACTGCCAGAGCAGGAAGGAAATTTTAGATTTGCCAATTCCTTTCCTTCTTTGCAAGGTGGAGAAACCAGAGAGCAAAAGAAGCTTGCTCAAGATCAATCATAATTCAGTGGAAGAGTTAGGGCCAGGTTAGGGCTTTGTCACTGCAGGTCTCTGGTAGAGGAAATTATCAAAGCCTCTCTTTAAAGAAGGATAGGGTTATTGTTTTCATTCCAAGGCTACGTATAAACCAAGAGGCCTCTCAATTTCTGCTTTCCTAAAGTTGTCAGAGTTGAAAAGGCCTTTGGAGATTATGAGTTCTGCCAAATTTATTTCACAGTTGGGAAAAATGAGGGTGAGAATGGGGAACCTTACTTCTAAGACCATAAAGGCCATTATTCTGCTTCTGCTCTCTGCTTTAGTAATTTTAGCTATCAAAGAGCAAGTAGTGGAGGCAGATGGATTTACCTGAGTAAAGAGGCCACCAATATGTCAAGTTACTGATAAACCCAGGAGACAGAGGTATGCTGATGGGGGAGGGGAGAGGCTATGGGCCAGGGCATTTGCTCCCACATTCCAACCTGACTACACAAAACCCAGATAGAGGCCACATGAAGTCTCTTATAGTTCCACCCCCAGGTTAGAGTAAGGCACTGCTCTAGACTCCTGAGCTATTGGAACCAGTTTCACAAGAGGCTGTACATGTCCTTGGTTCCCCATGGTTTCCACATATCCCATCCTGCCATGGTTTACCTGCTTGCACTGAAAATGAACCCCCAGTTTCATCGAGGCATAGTTGTTCAAGGTCATCAGCCTCCTGCAAAAATGCAAAGCAGTATTTACCCAAAGGTTCTGAAGCCCAAAGCCTGGAACAGCCTACCAAGATACTCCCAAGATGGAAAAATATATCCACCACTCCACATGTTCCAACCATTTAAACTTATCCAAGTCCCTACGTTCATGGGGGTTCAAGTGTCAGACACAATGCTGGAAAGAGTATGGCTCCTTTCCTCAAAGAGACTATAGATGTAGAAGCAAACCACTAGAGATGAAACTGGTTCAAGAACAGAATATATAGAATGCACAATGGAGACACAGAGGGTAAGACAAGGAATTTCCATGAAGGGAGAAGAGTGTAGTTAGAGAAGACTTCCTAGAGAACAGAAATAAAATTTTGAGGGTTAGAGAAACTTTTAGCAGGCTTAGACAGAAGACTATAATAAGGTATAGAGGGAAATGGTCAGTAAACAGACCAGTGTGAGTGTGAGACAGTTAGGATTGAGGCTAATAAAATAAATCGAAGCCAGAGTGCAAATGGCCTCGGGTGTCCCGTTATAAAACTTTTTCCCTATAAGCAGTGGGGAGTCAGTGACAAATTTTAAGTTGAGGAGAGGCTGCTTCCAGTTTACAGAGCTGACTCTGGTGGCTGTGTAAAGAGGATGAAAGGGGGAGGGGAGAAAGAATGCAGACACTAGAGGCAGAAAAGCCAGTTAGCTACTGTAATAGATACAAGAAGAAGTCATTGCTTGCCCGCAAACAAGGACCAAGGTGGTGTAAGTAGAGAGGAGACAAATCAGAATAATGTTTAGAGGATATAACTTAAGGGAGAAAAGAATCAATGTCAGATCTTGGCTTTCTAGCTCGAGTGACTAGGTGAGGGTGTCACAAACAAAAAACTGATTAAGTGAGGGGAGTGCAGAAGAAGAGCTTAGTTAATGTGCTGGGCCCCTCTTCTGTTAGAGAGTATAAGGATTTTTTTTTTTCCCATGAGGAAGCCCCAAGCCAAGCCTGAGGCTCCCCTACCTGCACAGAGCACCCAGAGAGTCCTCGTCCAGGAAACTGTGGTCCTTCTTCACAGAGCCGATATCCAGAGGGAACGAACCTTCTGTATGTCAGAGAGAAGCAAAGATGAGTCCAGGAAAGTAGATCAGGAACTCAGCCCCATGAGACCTTGTGTTTGAACAGGGAGGCCAGCAAAAGTGGAGAGTATGAAGGCAAGAGCCAAACATAAAGAAAAAAACCCAGAGATAAGGAGACCCAGAGAGCTCACAGTTAACAGTATGGGCAAATGTCTGGGAGAGAACAGGAGGGATGGACTGGAGGAAAAGACTATGTCAGTCTGAGGCCCTGGGTGATTGCCAAGAGCCAATCTGGAATCCCCAGTCCCTTCAAATCCTAGACTGCCAAGACAGGGAAGGGGCAGTGTACATCCAAAGAATATCTCAATTTCCCCTATTGTCCAGAGAGCAGTGGGAATCCACTCCCTGGGATTTAGGGAGGTGAGAGGATAAATGAAGGAATCGGGAAGAAAAAGAACTCAAGAATTCCTACACCATTCTGGCTTACTGGATAAAACAGGCCTATTTATTCATTTACTCATTCAACTAGTATTCTTTTGATGTTGCTCCTGTTAAGTGCCATGGAGTCAGTTCAACATTCAAAGTCCTGGTGTAGTGTTGTAGGATAAACACTGGACTGCCAACCAAAAGGTCAGCAGTTCAAACCCACCTTGGAAGCCCTATGCAGGGTCTCTATGAGTTGGAACCAACTTGATGGCAATTAACAACAACAATATTTATTTATTGTGCAAGACACTAAGGATAAGTAGTAAACAAGTCTAAAATGATAAAATGATCCCTGTCTTTACAGAGTTCAGACTCTCATGGGAAAGTCAGATAATAAACAATATGCTAAACAAACAAGATAACACAGTTATAAATACTATGAAGGAAATTAACCAGGGTGATAAGATTAAACAGAGGCTGCTGGGGTGGGAGTCCTGGTGTGGTGCTGTAGGATAAGCACTGGACCACAAGGTCAGTTTGAACTACAAGGTCAGTTTGAACCCCAAGATCCTCAGTTCAAACTCACCAGCCACTCCTCAGAACTAACTCAATGGCACTTAACAATAACAACAAGCTGGGGTGGGGCTACTTTTCATGGAAGGCCTTTCTGAGGAAGTGATTTCTGAGCTGAGTCCTGAAGGACAACAAGAAGAAAACCATGCAGAATTTGGAAAGAGAGTTCCCAGCAATGTTCCAAGAAGGGAAAAGTTTGGTGTCAATAAGTTAGAAGAAAGGAATCTGGAATTTACAGAGCAAAGGAGAAAGTCATAAATACAGAGTGATAAGGCAGTCTCATTGGACAGAGTACTGCATTTGGGCTTATTGCATTCTGAGGATACTGAGAAGCCATTGGGTTTGTAGTAGAGGAGTGACACAGTCACAACTACAGTTAACAGGATCCCTCTGGCTGCTGTAAGATGATAGGAGGGCAAGAGTAGAAATAGAGAAACAATTGAAAGGAGGCTTCCTCGGGGGTGTGGCCTGCTTCCAATATACTGGACACTCAGGCAAAGCTTGCTTGCTCTCTGCTGGGACTAGAACTTGCATGTGGCTTGCCCTCTGATTTCCGTTCTTTGGACTTGTGCCAGTAGCCTGCTCTATTACCTGCCAATCATGGTAGTTATCAGCATCCTGCCTTCTTACCTGGTGGACCTGAATGACTGCCTGTCGTCTAATCAGCCCATCTTGGCTCACCATCCCTGCAACTACAAGATTCAGAAGCTCCTAGCCTGAGCTCTGACCCAGGGACTTCGGACTTGCCAACCTCTAAAACTATGTAAGCCATTTCCTTGATATAAACCTGTCTCTCTCTGTGTGTGTCTCTGTATGTCTCTTTGTCTGTCTCTGTCTCTGTCTCTCTGATGTGGCACTGTAGATTAATGTGCTGGTTAACAACATATATATAATGTTGCTGTTAAGTATCGTTGAGTCAGTTTCAACTCGTAGCGACCCTGCATAAGGTTTCCAAGAAGCAGCTATTGAGTTTGAACTGCCGACCTTGTGGTTTAAACTGACCTTGAAGTCGAGTGCTTTATCCTATAGTGCTACACCAGGACACACACTCTCTCTCTCACTCGCTCTCTCGCTCGCCCTCTCTCTATATATGGTGGTGGTTATATGCCTGGAGTCGGTTCTGACTCATACAGGGTGTCCGAGGCTATAAATCTTTATGGGAGCAGAAAGCCTCATCTTTCTCCCACGGAACAGCTGATAGTTTCAAACTGTTGACCTTAAGGTTCGCAGCCCAATTTGTAACCACTGCACTACCAGAGTTGTTAAGTGCTGTCAAGTTGATTCTGACTCACAGTGACCCTGTATAGGGTTTCCAAAGAGCAGCTGGTGGGTTTGAACTGCCAACCTGTGGTTCACAGTCCAGTGATGGTCCTACATCACCACACCAGAAGTCTATATATTGTCGTTGAGTGCCATCGAGTAGGTTCCAACCCATAGCAACCCTGTATAGGGTTTCCAAGGAGCACCTGGTGAGCCTGAACTGCTGACCTTGTGGTTCACACTGACTTTGCAATCCAGTGCATTAACCCCACAGCGCAACACCAGGACTCCAGAAGTCCATATAGTTGTTGTTAAGTGCAGTTGAGTCAGTTCCAACTCACAGAAGACCTATATAGGGTTTTCGAGGCTTTAAATCTTCGTGGGAGCTGAAAGCCTCATCTTTCTCAATATATATATATTTGTTGCTGTTAAGTGACATCTAGTCAGTTCTGACTCATAGTGGCCCTGTATGTATACATATATGTATTGAATGATTGATTATGTGCTGTGGAGTCAGTTCTGACTCATAGCACCCCTTGTACAGGGTTTCCGAGGCTGTAAATCTTTACAGGAGCAGAAAGCCTTATCTTTTTCCCACAGAACAGCTGGTAGTTTTGAACTGCTGACCTTGAGGTTAGCAGCCCAACTCATAACCACTACACTACCAGAGCTCCTTACATATATATATATATATATATATATATATATGTGTGTGTGTATATTTGATGGTAGTGGTTATGTGCCATGGAGTCAATTCTGACTCATAGTGACCCTGTATAGGGTTTCCAAGGAGCACCTGGTGAGCCTGAACCACCGACCTTGTGGTTCAAACTGACTTTTGCAATCCAGCGCATTAACCCACATTAGGAATTAGAGTGAAAGAAAATGTAGACTAACACTAAAAGCCATATAAAAGACCAGGCTTACTCGTCAAGTAGAGACTGTGGAACCCCTGAAACTATGATCCTTAGTCACCCTTCAGATCTGGAAATGAAATCATCCACATGGCTCAATTTCAGCCAAGCAACTGACAGGTCTAGAAGGGAAACAACAACACTAATAAATACTGTAAATCTTTATGGGAGCAGAAAGCCTCATCTTTCTCTGGTGGAACAGCTGGTAGTTTCCAACTGCTGACCTTGAGGTTCGCAGCGTGATTCATTACCACTATGCTACAAAGTTAAAATATATATATATTTTTTTTTTTAAGAATTCATGTATTATGCAAGGAGAGGGTACTTGCTGATGAATTAGATAGTGGGAATGAGAGGGAAAGAAGAATTAAGAATGATTCCTGGGTTCCAGAGGACAGGGATCAACAGCCATGGCAGCACCCTCCTGTGGCATCGCGGTGCTCAGTGGGCACCTGGCAGGACCACTGGTGCTGAGCAGCAGTGCGGTGCAACCCACGGGGCAGCCAGGAGTTACTACACATGTGTTCCAGGGCTTTCAGAGCAGTGGCAAGAGACATGAAGTCATTATTATCTCAGGAACTGAAATGACCAAACAAATCCAAGAAGAAATACAGCAAAATGTGAAATTATGGATTTCACTTGGGAAGAGAAGACCTCACCTCAATATCATTCTAGTAGGAGACAACCCAGCAAGCCACACATACGTCAGACATAAGATAAGAACTGCCTCCACTGTAGGTGTCTGCAGTGAAATCATTCTAAAACCTAAGGATGTTTCTCAGGAAGAACTTTTAGATATAACTAAACAGTTGAACATGGACTCAAGAGTCAGTGGTATATTATTAGTTCAGTTACCACTGCCAGACCATGTAGATGAGCAAACCGTATGCAATGGAATCACGCCTGAGAAAGATGTGGATGGATTTCATATTATAAATATTGGAAGACTGTGCCTTGATCAGCATTGTCTCATACCTGCCACTGCCAGTGCTGTTTGGGAAACAATAAAAAGAACAGGAATTGAAACATTTGGGGAAAATGTTTTTGTGGCTAGCAGATCCAAGAATGTAGGGATGTTTTTACACACTGGTGGAGAACACGAATGGCCATAAGGTGATGCAACTCTGACAGTAGCTCACAGATATACCCCCAAAGAGCAACTAGAGATCCATACGCAGCTAGCATATGTTATCATAGTAGCTGCAGTATAAACTGTGCAAAAGAATATTGAACTGCCAGATGTGAACTCAGAAAAAGGTGTATTTATCATCACAATTGAATTAGACAATAAGTCTAAGTATATTTCTCTAAAAACAAATACAGGTAGTCCCCAACTTACAATGTATCCAAGTTATAACAACCTGTACTTACAACCTACCATCAGTGTATCTGGAACATTGCATCTTTCTGGGAGGAAGTTACAGGAAAATGCATGCAGCAAATAATGGGGAAAAAAAAAAAAAGTTACTGGATTATGTGAACATGCTCTAAATATTTGATCAGGATAAATGATGGAAGAGATCAGTGGGAAAAAATCATCTATATGGCAATAATGCTGAATTTAGACTTGATATGTCCTGGCAGCGTAGTGGGTTAGGTGAAGGCTGCTAACCACAAAGTCAGCAGTTCAAAACTACCAGATGCTCCATGGGAGAAAGAGGAGTCTTTCTGCTTCCGTAATGATTTATAGCCTTGGAAACCCAATATAGGGTTGCAGTAAGTCAGAACCAACTCCATGACATAAAACTCTTATCAAATGTGGAACAGCTCATAGATAACGGTGAAGGGGAACTAACGGATCAGGACTTAACGGATTAGGAAGAGGAAAGATAAACTGAAGAAGAAAAAAACTAATGAGAAAGAGTAAGAAGTTGTCAAAAATACTTTTACAATGTAAAGGTTGTTTTTAAACTAAATCAAGAACTTTAGTTGCTTGACAACATGGACCCAAACACCTATCACTTTTCTAAGGTCAATGGGCAAATTCTGGAAGCAGTGAGATGTTACCACAACATACCTGAAAAAAAGAAGAAAAGGACCACATTGTGTCATTCCCAATCGCAAGGAGAATCCAGATGATCCAGAACCTTGCAGCAACTGACAGAATGACAATGTTGCCCAACTCTTCTTCACCAGAGTAAATTTTTATGATTTGTGTATTTTTATATAAGTATGTACACATTAAATCTATTACTGTACATATAATGTTTCCAGCCCCCAAAGGCAAATAATTATTTGATTTTTAAAGATACTGATGATAAAAGATAATAATAATAAAATCAGCATGTACACTCCCACACAAATGAAAATCAAAGATGGGAAAAAAGGTACAATTTGGGATGAGTAATGTTGTTAAATGCCACTGAGTTGGTTCTAACTCATAGTGACTCTGTATAGGATTTCTGAGGAACAATTGGTAGGTTTGAACCACCAATCTTGTGGTTAGCAGTTCAGTGCTTATCCTACAGCACCTCATCAGGACTTCTTTTGAATAATAAGTAATAGCTAATTATTGCTGCTTTCTTTATCATTCTCTGAATTCTTCAAGTGAATTTTCTAAGATGTACTGACTTGATAATATAATAAAAATAGTTATTCTGACATAATATACTACATTAGTTTTTAGGAATAATCAGAACAACTGTACTGGAAGGATGTATACTGTAATGTGTTCTTTGGGTTTTGTGTGTGTCTTTTACAGACACAATGAATCTTCCTGGTTATATTTAAAATAAAAGTAAGTGTGACAACTGTAAAGGTAGAAGTTTTGTAACAAAAGCGGGGAGTAGGTAATCTTACATTTCAGGAAAAGAGGACCCTAGGACCATCAAGGGAGAAGAGCATGAGCAGAATGTGGGACCCTATCCAGAGAAACAGTGACACCAGAGATGGAGGAAGAGATGATGACATGGAGAGATAACGCAGCTAAGGATTCTAGACTCATGGAAAAAGAAAGACTGTGTGCTGGCGGCCAGAAGGCAGGTTTGCAGAATATGTCCTTTGGTTGTTTAAATGATTATATATTCCTGAGTGTTTCTGTCACATCCAACCCCCAAAACAACAACAAGAAAAAAAAACCAGAGGGAATAGAAGCAAATACTGTTGAATGAAGATGTACGGAGGGGATTATAATCATTGCAATGAAACAATGAGTGTAAAACCAATGTTCTCCCATGTAAATTATCAATCAATTCACAGTAAAAACTTTAAAAAAAAAAAAAAAGAAGAAGAAGAAGAATGATTCCTGGCTGCGGGGTTTGATTGAGTGAACCATGGTGCCATCTATCAGAATAGGGAGCATAAGAAGGGATACATTTGTGAGGAAGAATCTATCAGGAGTTTGATTTTAGATCATGTTAAATTTAAAGTGCCTGTTGGACACCTGAGTAGACACATTGAATTAGTAGTTGATTAGATTAACCCAGAGCTTAGAAATAAGGTCTGGATATATTTGGAAATCATCAGAATCTAGATGGCACTTGGATAAGGATGCTATGGAAAAGAAATGTTGAAAGAGATGAGGGTCCAAGTTTGAAACCTAAGACACTCAGACATTTAGAGGGAGCTCTGGTAGCATAGTGGTTACAAATCGGCCTGCTAACCTCAGTGTCAGCAGTTCGAAACTACCAGCTGCTCCGCAGGAGAAAGATGAGGCTTTCTACTCCTGTAAAGATTTACAGCCTTGGAAACCCTTAACAGGGTCGCTATGAGTTGGAACAGACTCCAGGACACATAACAGCAACAATAACAGTTGGCTAAGGAGACTGAGAAGCAGCATCCAGAGAGGCAATCAGCAGTCAGGAAAGGTGGTTGGTTGTTCCAGTAGCCAAAGGAAAGAGTAGTCAACTGAACTGAATGCTGCTGAGAGATTGAGTAAAACAAGTGACCACTGAATATGACCACATGGAAGTTGCTAATGAACTTGACAAAGACTGTCTTTTTTTCAAGGTGGGGGAAAAGCCAAGTATAGTGGAGTATGACAAAAATAGGGGATGTGGAAACAATCAGTGCGAAAGACTCTAGTGAAGAAAATAATGAAGGAAAACTAAGGAAACAGGTTTAAAGCCATCAAATCTGGGAAAGGAAAGGTCAAGGGGCACTCTTCACATCATATCTATGTAAATAGCATCCTCAAAGGTTGTATAAAGCAGTGGCCCTGGTTAAAAGAGAAGACAGCACAAAAGAAAGTACTCTAAACTGTGGAAAACACTAATGCATCATCTAGTAGAGAGATGATAATTTAGAAGGTAGAGGTTGTAACTATAAGCCCAAAGTCCCTGAGATTTTTTGAGCAGAACCAGGATACACAGCTTCTTGTGTGGTAGGCGAAAGGATCTGATTTGCTCCTCTTTTTGGATGAAAACTGAACATTAATACTGTAAAAATCCAACTACATGACACTATAGAAAACGCAAAACTATAGAGACACTAAATACAGTGGTTGAAGAGCTTCAGGGGGAGAAGGAGAGGAACACAGGGGCTTTTTAGGACAGTGAAACTGTTCTGTATGATATTGTAATGGTGGATACATGACATGCATTTGTGCATACAATACAAGGAGTGCACCCTAATGTAAACTATGAATTTTAGTTAATAGTAATGTATCAGCATTGGTTCATCAATTGTAGCAAAAAAATATAAGATGTTAATAATAGGAGAAATTGTGCAGGAGAGAGAGGCAGTATATGGGAACGCTGTACTTTCTGCACAATTTTTCAGTAAAGCTAAAACTGCTCTTAAAAATATTTTTATGTATCAAAAAATATATTTTTTTAACCTAGGAGATAAGGATATTTTGGGAGTATAGAAAGAGTAGCCTTACCGTCGAAAAGCTGAGCATACTGAGGAAATCCTGTTGTTCGAAGCCACTCACATGCTTTTTTGGCCTCAGCTTCTGAAACAGAAGAATGAAGAGAAACATGTTAACAGTGTGGATATATGTACATTACCTCACCTCTGCTCTGTATGCCTCCTGTATGCCCTGGCCTTCTTGAGCCTTATTTCCTGCCTGTCTTGAACCCCTTCTTCCTTCTTGGCCCCCTGCCCAAGAACAGAACTCACCACTGTCAGCAACTCCAAGGGATGCCCCAGGTCAAGAAGTAATGCTGGGATAAGAAGCCACAACTGTGCCCTCCAACCCAACCCCTCCTTAGGGATCCATCATTGTGTATATGTGACTGTGCTTAATTAATGCAACTTTCTAACATAAGATAGAGATCTAGGAATCACTAAGATCTTTGAGAGCCTCTAGGAAATGTTTGGTATAGCAGAGACAAGCTAGCAGTACTTCTTTCTGTTCCTGCCCTACCACAGCATAACAAACACGGGGCAATGGAGGCCTGGAAAAGAGGCAAGTTTCTAAGCCAGTGGCAGTCCAGGTGATGTTGTAAGACCAGCCCCTGTGGCAGTCAACTCTGCTTTCCTGTCATTAGGAAAAAGAGGGGTGTCAAAGTATGGACTAGGTCAGAATTTCTAAAGGCAGGCCCTCTAAGGGTCAAAAATCTATGTACCAGAGGAACAAACAAGATGGCAGATTGGGTGGAAGTGCAATAAAGAGTTCCACCAGCAACAACACAGAGTACCCAAACAAGCAGGTTCAGGAGATGGTCCCAGAACTCTGAACCACATATAAAGGAATATTTA